GGGGAGAAGCCAGGTGCTTGGGTTAATCTAATATTCCAGCTAAGTGAAAGTCCCTGTATATACTATCAATTACCTTTTTCCAAAGACTTAGCCATCAATAAGAGAAGAAAGCGATCCTAAAATCCAAGGGAACAGAACAATCTGTGTCTGATGACTCAAGCCTCTGACAGCTGTGGAATGCAGAGCATTGCAACCAACAGAACAGAACCTGGGGTGGATGGGGGTGGGGCGGGCCTCCCTGCCAAGGCGACACTAGAATGCAGAACAGTCCTCCTGTTAAATAGCAGAGCTCCTGGTGCTCCTAGGATGCTAATGCGGAGAGAAGTGGGAGACGGAAGGCTGGCCTGGGGGTGTTCTAGCAGCCGCACTCCGGCTCTACTAGGATCAGCGCTATGAGGGTTATTGACAGCTGAGGAGTTCAGTAAACCTTCCACTGGCTTCACGACCTCATCTACCACCACGCTTCTCTGCACTGTCAGTGACACCCAGGTCCTTTCTTCCTGGACTTGGGAGGGGACACAGTGGGGGCATGTCTCCAGCTTGCTTCCCGTTTCCTGCCCAAGCTCTGCCCTCAGAGCTGGAACCATAGAAGGGACCCATTCTTGTCACCGTGGCAACCCCAGCGCAGCGGCAGGGCGCCTAGACCCACAACTCAGCCAAATGCTGCCTGGCTTCCCAAGGCAGCCAGGATGAGACTGTGGGCTCAGGGAGCTGCTACACAGGAAGTCTCTGGTGGTCAGACTCGGATTCCAGGGCTTGGAAGGCATGGAGCCCAGCAGTCTTCAAACCAACCAGAGGACTTGCCTCTGGGGTGGTTGAAGGGGTGGGGCTCCTGCCCCATTTCGTCTGAAGAGGCTCCTCTCGTACCTGTTCTACATATGGTTGGTCTGAAGTAAGACTTAAAAAAAAAAAGTTCTGCACGTTAAAAGTCTATGAAATTGGGGCAGCTGGTTAACTCAGTTGGTTGGAGCGCAGGCTCATAACACCAAGGTTGCCAGTTCGATCCCTACATGGGCCACTGAGCTGCGCCCCCCACAACTAGATGGAAACAACTACTCGACTTGGAGCTGATGGGTCCTGGAAAAACACATTGTTCCCCAATTAAAGAAAAAAAGTCTATGAAATACATAGTTCCCATAAGAAGATACTGCTTCACATCCACTAGGATGACTATAATAAAAAAGATGAACAATAATAAGTACAGGTGAGGATGTAGAAAAATGGGCACTTTCCTGCATCACTGGAGGGGATGTAAAGTAGTACAGCTGCCGTGAAAAAGAGTCTGGCAGTTCCTATGTTTAACACAAGTTAAAGATAGAATTGCCACATGACCTGCCAATTCCACTAGTGGGTGTATACCCCAAAGCATAGAAAATAGGCGTTCAAACAAAAACTTCATAGCAGCACTACCCGCATTAGCCAAAAGGAGGAAGCAGCCCAAATGTCCATCAACGGATGAATGGATAAACCAATGTGGTATAAAATGGAATATCATTTAGTCATAAAAGGTAAGGAAATACTGATACCTGCTATCACATGGACGAACCTTGACAAGATTATGTCAAATGAAAGTCAGACACAAAAGGCGACATATTGTATGGTTCCATTTATATGAAATGTCCAGAATAGGTAAATCCATAGAGACAGAAGGCGGGTTAGTGGCTGCCAACGCCTGCGGGGAGGAGGACTAGGAAACGGCTGTCAATGTGTATGAGGTTTCTTTCTGGGTTGATAACAATGTTTTAGAATTGGATAGTGGTGATGGA